CGGAAACAGCATTGGTCGCATTGGTAGATGATCTCTGGAGGGCTCGGGACAGAGGTTGCTCCTCTGTTCTGGCCCTGTTAGACCTCTCAGCGGCTTTTGATACCATCAACCATGGTATCATGCTGCACCGGTTGGAAGAGTTGAGGATGGGGGACACCGTGCTACGGTGGTTCTCCTCCTTTTTCTCCGACCGGTCGCAGTTCGTGTTGGCAGGAGGACAGAGGTCGACCTCGAGGCCTCTCATATGTGGAGTGCCTCAGGGGTTGGTTCTCTCGCCCCTTCTGTTCAACATTTATGTGAAGCCGCTGAGAGAGATTATCCGTGGTTTTGGGGTGAAGTACCACCAGTACACTGATGACACCCAGCTGTACATCTCCACCCCTGGCCACCCCAATGATGCCCTTGAAGTAATGTTCCGGTGCCTGGAGGCTGTGCAGATCTGGATGGGGAGAAACCGGCTCAAACTCAACCCTTCCAAGACTGAGTGGCTGTGGTTCCCGGCATCCCGATATAGTCAGATGACTCCATCTCTGACTATTGGGGGCGAGTCTTTGGCCCCCTCGGAGAGGGCCCACAATCTGGGTGTCCTTCTGGATATGCAGCTGTCCTTGGAGGAACATCTGACGGCTGTGGCCAGGGGGACTTTTTGTCAGGTCCGCCTGATACGCCAGTTGCGGCCCTTTCTTGATCGGGATGCCCTGCGCACAGTCACTCATGCCCTCATCACCTCTCGTCTGGACTACTGCAACGCTCTCTACATGGGGCTCCCGTTGAGGGGCACCCGGAGGCTCCAACTGATCCAGAATGTGGCCGCGCAGATAGTTACGGGAGCTGCATGGCGCTCCCATACAACACCTCTCCTGTGTGAGCTGCCCAGTGGTCTTCCGGGTGTGCTTCAAGGTGTTGGTTATCACCTTTAAAGCGCTCCATGGCATAGGACCTAGATATCTTCGAGACCACCTGCTGTTACCGACGGCCTCCCATCGACCTGTGCGCTCCCACAGAGAGGGCCTCCTCGGGGTACCATCAGCCAAACAATGTAGGCTGGTGACCCCCAGGGGGAGGGCCAACTGCCCCCAGAGATAAGGAGAATCCAAGACCTCGGTGCCTTCTGCTGTGCCCTTAAAACCTTCTTTTTTCAGCAAGCCAGGCTGGCTTAACTTTTTTTCTTAATTTTTTAAATGTTTTAAATGGTTTTGTTATTGTTCTTAAATTACGGGGCAAATTTATATATATTCTTTTAATACTATTTTAATGTTTGTAATTTATGTTTTTATTCAACTGTACACTGCCCTGAGTCCTCAGGGAGAAGGGCAGTATATAAATTGGATATAAAATAAAATTAAAAAAAATTATATAAAGCAACAGAGCATATAATTCTTGGACTCACTTTAAGGAAGCACTTTGACAGCTGTGGACAGCTTCTCACTCAGGCAGTAAGGCTTTAAAAATATTCCCACCAATAATATCACTAGTTTTAAGCATATGTTACTTCAATCATGCCAATGGGACGTAGCAGAATGTTGGAGCAATAGTATAGCACAAGTTGCAAAGTGAATTGTAATCCTTGTGAATGATGAGTTAAAATGGTCATACAGATTGGTCCCAGGAATCAATTTTGTGTTCTAGGTTTACTATATAAAATTGTATGTGTTGGAAAGTCACACCTACCAATTGATGGGAGGGTTTTCACATGCAAGAGGTATGTTTTACTCTTCATTATATAAGGTCCAAGCAAAAGCATGGTTGAAGTCTCACTGATAATAATAGATTATTTTGCACTTAATTCTGTTTACCTTTACTAGTCATCCCATAATAAAGATTTCTTGGCAGCTCATTAGAAATGCATTTAAGCAAAATGCATTATTTTCTTTTCTATGGTTTATGTTGTATGGACATATTTGCCATAAAAGGAGGAAATAGCTAGCCTTTCTTTCATAATAGAAATAAATAAGTAAGCATAGTTCATTTGCATTTGGAACAAGCAGGAGAATGAAAATACTTTAATCAGAAGCTACATCTAAGGAACTGAAAAATATTACAAGCCTGATCCATCTCAATTTCATTTTGTCATTACTTATTAAACTCCACTGGCCAAGCTATCAGTGCCTTGAAATGAGCAATCTCCAATTCTTTCCTAGAAACGGAGACACATGGCCACATAAAATGTTCCTATTTTCAAGAAGTACATCTTGCAGAGAGTCCTAAAGATCTTAAGAGCATATTTTCTAAAGTACAATTCGGTCATTCAGTAATTCTAAGAACAGACAGGATCTGTTTTGCCTGTTCCATCCTTGACCTTCCTGGCTTGGTGGAAAAAAAATGAGCAAAGAGGAACTAAACTTTGGTCAAATATGGTTATACTTCTTTTGGAAACCACAGACAATCAAGTTTTCTAATAGAATGAATTATTGCAGCTACATTCAAATAAGAACAGTTGTCTTCATCTCTGTGGAGATGAAGTGAAGTAGAAGGAAAAATCAGAAGACGTGTCAGGTTTTCATGCTTGTAGTTACTGAAAGTATAAAGGAAGGTTATATTCTTGGGGACTTGATCTTTAGTTGGCAGGTTTAGAAGATAATCTTAAGCATTGTTATTGAGAAATGTTACATCTCATTTTATTTTTATGCACATTACACATGCTAAAAGTATGAGGAACAAGATAGTTATATACATTACAATAAGTACAAATAGGAACAAAACAGGCAAATATCTACAGTGACTGACTGATGATAGCTGAAGTTCAAAATATCTGGAAGGCACCAGTTTGTCTGCCTCTGCAAAATATTTCAGACTGGAATAAGAATTTATATTATAACCATAAAAGAAATGAATAGCATCTCTCAAACCAGGAAGCACAGCTTTTGCATGATTCTCCTGGGCACTTCACGATTTATCAGTTCTATGTCTTTATGAACATTGACGCTAAAGCTAATTTTAATCTTCTTTAATGAATTGCATTTAAACATTAAAGGAAATCGGAATGATTATGCATTACTACAATCTGCTAATTGCTTTGTTGTGCTTTTTTATTTTATCAAGACCCAAAAGGAAATCACACTGAAAAGTATATAATAAACAGATTTAATGTTTTCCCTAGTTAGTTTTTTCTAGTAAGAGAAAAGGGCTCAATTTTGCACCCTCTGCTGTTCAAACATGATGTGTGTTCTTTAGCACATAGATGGTTAAAGATGGCTATGCTTGCACTCTATTTACTGGCTTATGAGATGTATGAATGAGACAGATGCTGTCCATTAAGAATAACTGAACTAGCTCGAAGATGTCTGGATGTTTATTTTTAACTATTCCACTAAGACACCATTAACCTTCTATAATGATTTTTTAATATTTACTTGATGAACTGCATCTGCTCAAGGGAATAAAGTGAAAACTCATTAGCTAAAGGAACAGATCATAAACTTATTGCTTCTTGGAGCAATCTATGATATTTGGGTCAGAGAGCAATGGATGTAATGCAGCCATAAAATATGCATGCCTGTAGCATGTAACAAAAGCATATGGAAATGATAACATTAAACACAAGGAATGTAATGGTTCATGATTTCTTTTTTTAATAACATATTTTATAATGATGATTTTAAGCATTTAATCTACTTCCTTCATTTTTCATGGGGCATATGAAATTCCAAATAATCTTTGGGCATGGGGGGAAAACATATTTCTGCAGTGGCTTCTGTTACTGCAAACTTAATACAACTGGATTTAAACAAATACAATGATTTATAATAAAACAGACACTATGTATCTTTCTTATACACATATACGTATAGTGAAAATGTTGGTCATGATAAAGCAAGTACATTCTGGAAATTCCAAGTACTGAATTTCCACTGCCTTGTATTTTATGTTAGACTTGCAACCCATAAGAAAATGTGACAAGCCATGTTAAAGAAAAAAAAAGAAAGAAACACATTCTCCCTCCTGCCTGTTTACATTTACAGTAGATACGTGTGTACGTGTGTGTGTGTGTGTGTGTATTGTTACACAGCATTCTCTCTCATTAGAATATTCCGAAATTATATTGTCCCGGGAAAAGGCAAGACCATTCCCAAATACAACCTTGCTGGAATTTTTTTTTTTTTTTACCATAAAGCCCTCACTATATAATCCGATGGCACTTTGGGAAAACAAGAATCCTTTTTCGAACTGCAATTTTAATGGGTCGGGGCTGCCCCATGGCCGCACCTTGCACGACCTCTATACCATCATCCTGTAGCTTTGCTTTACTTAGCCGATCCGCCCTTCTCCATTCCCACCTGGCCTGCAGCCCAGAGCCCCGTTCCCTCCAGTCCCGTGAAAAGCCAACCTTCCTCCCTTCGTTGCTTTCCATCTGCCCTTTCTTTTAAGCCAACGTGGCCGGTTATTCACGGACACCGTTTATGATGGGAAGCAGTTCATTCGGTGTCGCGTGGGAAGCCGACACTTTTTCTAGTCTAGAGGGAAAAAGAATCCGATTCTAAGAATCCGGTTCTATAGTTTAACCTCGGCTAGGACCGTCCTCAATTTGCTGGGACGAGGGACGAAGAAAAAAAGGTTGGATCCTCTAAATAGATGATCGGTTCTCCCTCCCCTCCCCCATCCAACTTAAGCTTACTCCAGCTATATCTCAAAGGTGCTTCCCCCCCCCCACCCCATCCCGAAGAGGCAACTGGACTTTCTTGTTTTTCTTCTTCTTGAAGACGTTTCGCTTGTCAACCAAGAAGCTTCTTCAGCTCTGACTGGAGGGTGGGGAATGGAAGGATTTAATACCATCTGACTTAGGTGGCTCAGTGGCTAAGACCCTGAGCTTGTCGCTCAGAAAGGTCGGCGGTTCGAATCCCTAGTACAGGTCTCCTGGGTGAACCGAGGATTGGACTAGATGACCTCCAAGGTCCCTTCCAACTCTGTTACTGTTCAACTGAGAAGCCAAACGTCTTCAGAACCAGAAAGTCCAGTTGCCTCTTGGAGGGGGGAAAAAACACATTTGGGACAACCGTGACCTGAATCTCCATAGATATTTCCTCCAGCGATGGACCCAAGACACTCAACCCAGCTCGCGCGGCTGTCCCGCGTGAAGTAAGCCGCCTTCTTTGCTAGTAGTCAGGCAGCTCGGGACAAACCGCTTCTCTGATTCAAAGGACGGGGCGGGACGGGACACGCGAGGCTCTTCAGCCCTTGAGTTGGGGGAGGGGGGCAGGCTTTTTTAGCCGAATGCTGCTTCCTAGCTCCCCCAAGCTTCTCGCGGGAGGAGCGCTCAGCTGTCTTGGAGCCTGGAGCCCTGTCCACGGAGCCCTTCGGTCGGGAGAAAGGAGAATCCCCACAAAACGAAGGACCGCGGCGGGGGGGGGGGCAGACAAGCAAAGCCCTCAGACCTTACCTCAGAGAGACCTTGAGGCTCGGATCCGCGGCCGTCGTCATTTTCTGCGGCGAATGAGGGCTGGGAGGAAGGACGGAAGAAAGAAAGGGAAAGGGAGGCAAGCTGGGGCGCCGCGAAGTCTCCTGGCATCGCACCTTCGCCAGCTTTAGTACACCTCCTTCTGCCAGCCCTGCCCTTCGCCGCTTCTCCTCCTCCTCCTCTTCCTCCTCCTCCCCCCCCCCCCCCCGCCCAACCTGGAGGAGGAACCTTTCGAACGTCTTTCGTTGCTGGTACCATAAGAGAGGAGAAAAAAGCCTGTGTATGTGTGTGTGTGTGTGTGTGTGTGTGTGTGGTGTGTGCGTGTGTGTGACTGACTCTACTATTGAGGAGGGCCAAGAATCACGAGCCCGTTTGGGGCAGCAAAGTTCCAAACGGTTCGGTCAAGCTAGTTGGGTTCTTCCTAGCACCAATGGTGATTTCTCCGCCTGATCTTCAGGAGGTGGCTGTGTAGACGAAATGAAAAGGAGAAAAACCACTGCGATTGCTGTCTTAGAGAAAACTGGACGTAGATGCAGATCAATAAAAACAGAGGAGGGTGCAATACCCAAACTTTTCATTTTGGACTCTTTCTCTGGGAAAAAATAATAATAATCTCAAAACATTCCCCCCAAAACGTGGTCTCTTTCCATAGCTTTTTCGAATGCTTTAGTTTCTCCAATATAAACATAAACAAGACTTTGGATGTTTTGTCCTATGTGTAGGATTGGGAAATTGAAACTTTGCTTAGATCGGGGAGAGAAAATGTCTCAATGATCTAAGGGATTTTATTTCCAAATAAATATGCATAGGGCCAAGCCACTAGAAGGTGTTTTCATTTACAGTAGGCAAAATGTGTGTTTTATTAAAAGAGACAGCCAATTTGATTCAGGCTAGGAGACTCTGAGCTCTAGTTCTGCCTTAAGCGTGAGGTCAACTGAGTGACCATGGACAGGTCATTCCCACTCAACCCTAGGAAGCTGGCCAGAGCAAACTATTTTGCCATGAAGACGAGAAACACAAAAATCAAGCAAGAGGCCAAATGTCGTTCATATTAGCACAAAATATGTTCATTTATTATAATACTATTGTTTAAATGCACAGTGTAATTCTTCAGTGTTCCTTTATAAATCTGTTAAATACAATATATGCTATTCCTATTGCAATATGAATGCTGCCTAACCATTGTGTAAAAAGACACATTGTAAGAAATCCTTCATAGGGTCTGTGAGGGGAACAAATGTCAATAATTACAGTCCTGATGCAAATTCCATCCCTTTTCTACTTGCATTGAGATATCACAGGTAAGTGTATCATGACATCACATAACAAATTTCATCATTTGCAGATGCCCCTCGGCTCCACTAAGCCAATGGACCTTTTTTCCCCCCTATAATTTCTGTTGGGATCAAGATATGATTGCATCTTCTAAAACAGGGTGTATTTATTCTATTTTCATTTGAAAGTGTAGGTTTTTTTAATGCCCTGTGGAGAACTGCCAATATTTTGAAACTTGTTTTCTTCCCGAAGCTATGTTGCAGCTGGATTCCCATTCTTGCCACTTAATTACTAGTTTCTCAACATCAGTGGATGTTTCAGAAAGCTTGAAAATTCAAATCGTGACAGAACTATTAGGAAAAGCAGTTTTAGTCTCAAATCCATAATCAGTTCACTGTGACTGAATCCAACAACATACAGAGCAGATGTAAGATTGTAATGACACATCTAAGACCCTGCAGTACTTTCATGGATGAACATGCTGTAGTTTTTCTACTTTTAGCAATGAAGACCTGCTGTATGTTTTATAAAACAGAATTTCCAGTAATAACCATGAGCTTAGATCATATAATAACATTTCCTTCTTCGCAACACAATGCATGTTCTACCTCCAACATCAAAAGACGTCATGCATGAATACAACCTTTAATAAAGTACGTGGCTTAAAAGCCAAACCCGTGGAAATCAAGACCATAAAATGACTCTGCTTTGAAACCTTTTATGTATGAGACACTAATGACATAGTGTGAGCTTAATGCATTAAGCTAATAAACACAATGCAAAACTTGCTATATTTAAAATTAAGCACATGGCACATCTATGCATAGATATATAAGTTTGGAAGAAGTACAAGAAATAAATTTTCCAGCGATAGTTGGTTTGTGGCTACAATTGCTATTGTGTTTGTTTTAAGTATGTTGATTGATTCTAAACATGCACATTTGCTAAGGAATAAAATCTGTAAATAGTTATGCAATTGCCTGAAAATTTTATTTATACATATATACACACACACACATTTTGGAAACAGATTTTAAAAAACCAAATTACTTTCTACAAGTCTTTCTCTCTTAGGAACCTTTGGGGAATACCATGTAACATGTTTACTTACATTTTAAAAAGACATTAACCTTTCCAGGTTCCACTGGTGCTGAATGACTATTTTTCTCCCTTCTGTTTTTATTGTTCCCCTTTCTGTAGTAACCTGTTTTTAGTGGCATTGAAAAGCCTTAGCCTCCCTTTTAGGAAGAAAGTGGTCAACAGATTTTGGTGTTCATAATCAGGCAATCAGGCTTTAAAATTATTCCTGCCAATTATATCACTCGATTTAAGCATATGTTGCTTCAGTTGGAAGACACCATCATGTCAAAGGGACAAAACAGTATATTGGAGAAATATCATTAGGAGAAAGAGTTGCAAAGTGATTCATAATCCTTGTGAGTAACCAAATAAAATGCTCATACACATTGGTCCCAATCTTGTACTACTCTAGGTTTATGTAAAAAACTGTAGGTATTGGAATGTCACATCTACCAATTGATGGTTTTTTTCACATGCAAGAACTAGGTTTTATAACCATAGTAAGTGCCATAGTAAGAACTCTAAGCACCAATAGTAATATGATTATTACTATATACTGATAACTATATTATATAGTGATATCTTATATACTGATATTATATATACTGATATTAATAGGATTACTAAATGTGCCCTTAATTCTATTTAATTATTTTGTATAGACACCACATTACACAGGTTTCTTGGCAGCTTATATTTTTTCGATGGATCATGTTCTTGTCTCATTTCTGTGTCTTTTCTTTAGTTCAGAGAGTATTTCTTTACTGCCTGCTGTCATGAAACCTGCTATCACCATCTGTAATACTGCTGATACACTACCAGATTTCTGCATTTTTAGCCTGCTTCACATGATTCCATCCAACATTGTTATGGATTGCTCATATTTAGAGAGACAAATCCACAGGAAGCACAAATATATGTCCACTGTTTCCTTTTTTATTCTGAGTTATTTCTCAAGGGGGGAAAAAAAAACTTAGAATCAAGAAGTCTCACATAAACAATGCATAACAGTTGGTGTCTCTCTTTCCCATGCACTGTAGAAGCTACATTATGGGGGAGAGAAGCAAAGCAAATATTAAATACTTTACTTCCTGCACAAAGCACAATAAATTGATGATCAGGCAGTCATAAAGAATGGGGTGCCATCTTTTAAACTATGAAGGACTTAGTACCAATATAGCTCCCCCAAACCTTTTTCCTACAGGCTAAAAAATTCTGGGGCATTAAACATAGGTACAATAGTAAATGTGTCTAGCCAAGATAAAAATGAATTCCTGTTATGGTCTCTGTGTTCCAGCATCCTGTTTTCTACATCAATAAATTATATTCCTTGAGAAAGAACTTCCCTTGCCAAGTTGTTATATACTGATATAGAGTGATTACTAACTCTTGTAGACCTATTTTTGAACTCCAGCATTCATTACTGAATGCAACTCAATATGCATGATTACATTTAGACTCTGTAAGTCACTAGCTGCAAAATAACTGTATCTCTACCTATTGGTTATGATCACTCTATTTTAGAAATAGTCCTCCAGTGTGATTGGGCGGCAACATCTGTACATAAGAAAAAAGGAAAACTTGAACTTAATCATACCAAAATTTTATCTATTCCAGAATTATATAGGTTAGAATCCTAACTATTTGCAGATTCCAGTATTTCTCAAAACACTTTCCAATATACTGCTTTTTAAGACTTTTTATTAAAAATAAATGTTAATTTTTTAGAAAATGGGATTGACTTGCTACAAAGTAAAATGCCAGTCACAAGCATCAGCCAGATTAGCACGTAGAGCCCACAGATAGTTTACAAAATGAGAGGTCTTTACAGTCCACTAGAGAAGAAAAAGACAGGTAAATCCTGTTGGGACAATCAATGATTTTGCAAATTAATGTTGTATGAGAGCAGTCATGTTATTCTGTCACCATTCCAAATATGGCATTTGAATTAAAAGGTTGAAGTCACATTCTATGAGTAGCCTCCAAGCAGAACATAAAGGCAACATTCACTTATCTTTTTAAATTTTCTTAAGTCTTCAGGTGGATTTAAACCATCATTATATTTTGTGGTTGAGAATTCTGAAATTTATGTAGGTGCTCTATGAAGAAATGCTTCCTTCAAAAATAACTTGCAGTTTCTGAGAGGAATCTGATTATAACCACTAATAAAACCAAACTACAGAGAGACCCCTGGTTTTCATCCAGCAAATCATTCAGTTATACCTATTGGCTTGAAAAAAAAAAACAGTTTGGTTTCCTAAACATACAGGTTAAAAAGCTGCAGCTCCTTTGCTTTCCTTATTTAAAAAAATAAATGTAGGAGAATAGAAGGCAGAGCTGGGAAGGGTGGAGTATAAAACACATCATCAGTTCAGGGTCCTTGCATTGCAAGAGATCCAAGTCCAGCCATCCTTGATTTCTGTTGGCAGAATTCAAGTGACAATTAGTGACAATTTAGTGACTTATCTAGTGACAATTTAGTGCTGATTGTTATTTGACTAGATTCTTCTGTTTGGGCTTCAATAAATCTGATTATATCAATGGCAATAGCACTTAGACTTATATACCGCTTCATGGTCTTTTCTAGCCCTCTCTAAACTATAGAGAGTCAG